AAAAAAAAAAAAAGGCATGGAAGTTGCCTGAAGTAATGTGGTCTTAGAAGGCCTATGAGAAAGGGGCACTTAATTTGAGGCTGTAAGAATGAATATAAGTTGAGTAGACAGAGAATAAAAGAGAAAGTTCTAGGGAGGGAAAGTAACATATTTAACAGCCCCATAAGAGAAGGGAGAAGAGAAATTATAACTGATACCAAAAAAATACAATCATAAGAGACTACTATGAACAACTACACACCAACAAATGAGACCACCTAGAAGAAATGGATAAAGTTAAAGTCCTAGAAACATACGTCTTCTAAGACTGAAACATAAAGAAACAGAAAATCTGAATAGACTGATTACTAGTAAAGAGACTGAATTGGTAATCTAAAACCTCCCAATAAGCAAAGTCCAGGACCAGATGGCTTCACTGGTGAATTCTACCAAACATTCAAAGAAAATTCAACCTGTATCTATCTTTCTCAAATTCTTCCCAAAAACTGGAGAAGAGAATGCTTTCAAACTCATTTTACAAGCATTAACCTACCACCAAAACCAGACAAGGACACCACAAAAAAAGAAAATTACAAACAACAAAATATTAGCAAACTGAATTCAACAATACATCAAAAGGGGTCCCCACCGTACCACTGGCCAAGGTTTCAAAAGACCTCACCAAAATGCTATCTCAAATGGAACATGCCATGGAAACCATGATGTTCATGTTCCACAAGTTTGCTGGGGATAAAGGCTATTTACCAAAGGAGAACCTGAGAGTACTCATGGAAAAGTAGTTCCCTGGATATCTGGAAAATCAGAAAGACTCTCTGGCTGTGGACAAAATAATGAAGAACCTGGACCTGGACCAGTGCCGAGATAGGAAAGTGGACTTCCAGAGCTTCTTTTCACTAATTGCTGGGCTCACCATCGCATGTAATGAGTAGTATACATGAAGCAGAAGAGAAAGAAGTAGGAGGCATTGAGCAACATTCCTGCCTGATGAGAGTTCTCCCAAAGGGTCTCTTAAGGACTCTTAAGGGTCTCTTAAGGAATCTGCCCCACAGATTCTGCCTGTATAAAGGATTGACTGAACAGATCAGGATCCTCAGAAAATGTACAAGTAAAATCTAACATTTGACAAGCAGAGAAAGAAAAGACAGTGAAAGCTAGATAAACTTTTGATTTTTATATTGCTTGCATCCTCTTACCCTCAATAAATAAATTCTTTTTTAGTTCCTCAAAACAGCAACAATAACAACAAAACACAATATTTTAAAAAAGGATCACACACACCACAACCAAGTGGGATTTATTCCAGGAATGCAAAGATGGTTTAACATCTACAAATCAAAGTGATAAAGCACAATAACAAAACAAAGGATAATTAAGCAATTATTAATAAACTAAGAGGAAATCATTATTTCCCTATTCCAAATGTAGAATAGTCTCATTTATTTTGATTTTTCTATGTTACTTTAAAACCGTTCATCTTTAAAACATTTTAAACATTACATCTAATGATAATCAATAAACTACTTCAAATAAAAAAAAACAAAGGCTAAAAATAACATGATCATCTTAATAGATACAGAAAAAGCATTTAACAAAATTCAACATCCAGGGGCGCCTGGGTGGCTCAGTTGGTTAAGCGACTGCCTTCGGCTCAGGTCATGATCCTGGAGTCCCAGGATCGAGTCCCGCATCGGGCTCCCTGC